GAAGATATCTTTGTATACACCCATGATCACAGCAGCACTAACATGTACATCAACATTTACATTTACAATAAGGTGAAAGCAACTCAAGTGTCCATTGGCAGATGAATGGATAAACTCAGTGTGGTATATGCATATAAAATTCAACCTTAAAAAGGAAGAGAATCCTGTTACATGTTACAAGGTGGATGAAACTTGAGGACATTTATTATTATTGTGATTATTGAGAATGGGTCTTATTCTGTCAACCTGGCTGGAGGACAGTGGCACAAACACAGCTCATTGCAGCCTCAACCTCCTGGGCTCAAGGGATCCTCCCATCTCAGCCTCTCAAATAGCTGGAAAAACATGTGTGAACCACCATGCCGGCTAATTTTTGGATTTTTTTGTAGAGGTAGGGACCCACTATGTTGCCCAATCTTGTCTCAAACTCCTGGGCTCAAGGGATCCTCCTACCTTAGCTTCCCAAAGTGCTGGGATTCTAGGCATGAGCCACCATGCCCCACCTTGAGGACATTATGTTAAGTGAAATAAGCCAGTCACAAAAAGACATACTATATGATTCTACTTCTGAGTTATCTAAAGTAGTCAAATCCATAAAAACAGAGTAGAATGGGGTTACCAGGGGCTGGGGGAAGGAGAGAATGGGGGAGTTATTGTTTAATGGGTATAATGTTTCAGTTTTACAAGATAAAAAAGTCCTGGAGACCTACCTATTTTACAACCTTATAAATATAATTAAACTTACAGATAGTTAAGCTGGTAATTAGGTTCTTCTTTTTTGGGGTGATTATGTATGTAATCCCAGCATGTTGGGAGGTGGAGATAGGAGGATCCCTTGAGCCCTGGAATTTGAGATAGTTTTAAAACAATTTGTTTGCAAGGCTTTGAGCTATTTTCAACTCCCAACTTCAAGATCTGCTTTGAATCAAGCCTAAGCCTCAGAGTACAGAGCTCTGGCAAAGAATGGGTAAGTTAGCATACTTCAACAAAGCCAGGAGGGAATTTCTGAGCTACCCAACACATCAACACATTTCCCTGTAATCCTGACAGGAAATATGTGTATATGTGTTATGCACAGGTGCACATGGACATGCATTTGTGTATCTCTTCTGTTAAATGCCTGTTCAGAGTCAGGTTCAACTGGTTGGTCTGGCACGTATGCAGCAACTGTATTTTAACCAGATTGTAAAATATTTTTATCTTTATATGTCTGGGCATTGATCAAGTGAGTTCATTAAGAAAGGCTAAGTGATGGGGGCCGGGCAGCACTTTGGGAGGCTGAGGCGGGCAGATCACCAGGTCAGGAGTTTGAGATTAGCCTGGCCAGCATGGTGAAACCCTGCCTCCACTGAAAATACAAAAATTTAGCCAGTCATGGTGGCATGTGCCTGTAGTCCCAGCTGAGGGAGGCTGAGGCAGGAGAATCGCTTAAACCCAGTAGGCAGAGTTTGCAGTGAGTCGAGATCATGCCACTGCACTCTAGCCTGGGCGACAAAGTGAGACTCCATCTCAAAAAAAAGAAAGGCTAAGTGGTAGACTGCAAATAATCTCAAATCAAATATGTAGACTGATTCTTCCTGAAGGGAAATATGCCTGAATTAAAAAGGGATCTGGCCAAATTACCTTTTTAAAAAATCCATCTAAACAAAATGGCTACTTGTGAGATTGGTATGGTAAAAACACAACTGATATATTTTCTTTGTTCATCTTTTTATTCATCAGTTAGCATCTGAGACTGTTGAAAACGATCACTTTCCACATTCTCAGTATTCCTCAATACACATTAGTCACATTCAATGCAAGTTCCTATTATATGAATTAGTGTAATATTTGTTATAAAAGAAAACATAGTGTTATAAATTCTTTTTTTTTTTTGAAACAGAGTCTCGCTGTGTCATCCAGGCTAGAGTGCAGCGGTGTGATTTTGGCTCACTGCAACTTCTGTCTTCCACGTTTAAGTGATTCTCCTACCTCAGCCTCCTGAGTAGCTGGGATTACAGGTGTGCTCCACCACACTTGGCTAATTTTTGTATTTTTAGTAGAAACAGGGTTTTGCCATGTTGGCCAAGCTGGTCTTGACTTCTGGCCTCAAGTAATCTGCCCACCTCAGCCTCCTAAAGCGCTAGGATTACAGGTATGAGACGCTATGCCTAGCCTGTGTTATACATTCTTTGTCCAACTTTTGAAATAATGTGAATCCTCCTAAATTTAAATCAATAAACAGCTGGAGAAATAAGTCAATTATAAACTGCTTACACTACAACTATTTCCTGATGCCACTTAGCTGGTAAACAAATATATCCACTGCTGTAGTCTGAGTGTTGGTGGTGTTCCCATGGTTAAATTCGTATGTTGGAATCTAATACTCAATATGATAGTATTTAGAGGTGGGCCCTTTGTGGGAGGTGATTAGGTCATGAGGGTTCTGGCACTCGTAAGTGGGATTAGTACCCCTATAAATGAGGGTTGGGGAGCTTTCTGCCCTTTTGCCATGTGAGAACACAGTAAAAAGGCTCCATTTTGGAAGTAAAAAGCAAGCTCTCACCAGATACCTAATCCGTTGGTGCCTTGATCTGGGACTTCACAGCCTCCAAAACTGTGAGCAATAAATTACTGTTGTTTATAAAGTATCCAGTCCAAGGTGTTTTGTTATAGCAGTCTGAATGGACAAAGATATCCACTATCCTTATTTGTGAATAAGGCTGTCATTTCTATGAATGAAATCCCCTGATCTGGATAACAAATATGCAAATTCTTCAAAACCTGCTGTTACTATTATTAAAAATCTGTTTCAATTAGCTGGGCATGGTGGCAGGAGCCTGTAGTCCCAGCTACTTGGGAGGATGAGGCAGAAGAATCGCTTGAACCCGGGAGGCAGAAGTTGCACTGAGCCAAGATTGTGTCACTGCACCCCAGCCTAGGTGACAGAGCGAGACTCTGTCTCAAAAAAAAAATTGTTTCATATACTATAACAGTGGTGCTAAGTGCTTTGGGAAACCCTTATGAAAATAAAAGCTTGGGCCAGGCACGGTGGCTCATGCCTGTAATCCCAGTACTTTGGGAGGTCCAGGTGGATCGCTTGAGGTCAGGAGTTGGAGGCCAGCCTGGCCAACATGGTGAAACCCGTCTCTACTAAAAATACAAAAATTGGTCAGGTGCGGTGGCTCACACCTGTATTCATGCCAGCACTTTGGGAGGCTGAGGCAGGTAGATCATCTGAGGTCAGGAGTTCGAGACCAGGCTGACCAATGTGGAGAAACCCTGTCTCTACCAAAAATACAAAATTAGCGGGCATGGTGGCATGTGCCTGTAATCCCAGCTTCTTGGGAGGCTGAGGCAGGAGAATCACATGAACCTGGGAGGCAGAGGTTGCAGTGAGCCAAGATTGTGTCACTGCACTCCAGTCTGGGTGACAGAGTGAGACCCCACCTCAAAAAAAAAAAAAAAAAAAACCCTGAAAACTCAGGAACAGAAGTTAAAAAAGATAAAACACTTTGATGAAATGAAATCCAAACAAGGACATATGCCAGACTGCAATTAAGGAAGGAACACTTGGAAAGATTAGAGATAATGAAGAACAGAATTAAAATGGTTATATCTTTAAGTTTCCCCCCACCTCAAAAAAAAAATCATAAGGAAAATGGGGACTTAAAAGGGGGAAAATATGCTGGAGACACAGCTTCATGATCAATGCTACTATAATGTGCATAATGTACCTCTAAGCTACAACGATTGCAGATTTATGCCTCTGGGGATCTTCTCTCATTCTAATTAAAGTTTTTCAAATAGGAAAAATCAAGGGTAAAATATATAGATTTCGAATTATGTAAGATCCTTAGGAACATATCTCTGGAGCAAAAATGCTCTATGTTAATGTCTTTTAGACTCAGAGACCATATAATTAGAATGATGGACAAAAAAGGACAAAAAACCCTAAAATGTAGCAAGGGATTCTTCAGGTAAGTCCAAAGAATTTATAACACTCTACTTTGTTTATCAAAGGAGTTTCCTTGCTATAGCTCATGGACAAGATAACATCATTCCACACTGTTCCAAGCCTAGAAAAGAAAGCAGATAACTATTTTTCTTCGTTTGAGCCTTCTAAATCTTATGAAAGCCAGAAGAACTCGATGGCAGCCACAGAAAAACTATATAAAAAATAAAAATAACCAAATCACATATATATGTGTGTGTGTGTACGTGTAATTTTTTATTTTCGTGAGACAGAGCTGTACTCTGTCAACAGGCTGGAGTGCGATGGAACGATCTTGGCTCACTGCAACCTCTGCTTCCCAGGTTCAAGTGATTCTCCTGCCTTGGCCTCCCGAGTAGCTGGGATTACAGGCGCATGGTACCACGCCCGGCTAATTTTTGTATTTTTAATAGAGATAAGGTTTCGACACATTGGCCAGGGAGGTCTCGAACTCCTGACCTCAAGTGATCTGACCGCCTTGGCCTCCCAAATATATGCATATATATAAATATAATTTTTTTTGGAGACAGAGTCTTGTTTTGTCGCCCAGGCTGGAGTGCAGTGACGAAATCTAAGTTCACTGCAGCTTCTGCCCCCTGAGTTCCAATGCTTCTCCTACCTCAGCCTCATGAGTAGCTGGGATTACAGGCATGTACCACCATGCCTGGCTAATTTTTTTTTCCCTTTTCTTACTGCCACATCAAGAATCTGAATGTCCAAAGCCTGGCTAATTTTTGTATTTTTAGTAGCCACAGGCTTTTGCCATGTTAGCCAGGCTGGTCTTGAACTCCTGACCTCAGGTGCTCCACCTGCCTCAGCCTCCCAAAGTGCTGGGATCAGAGGTGTGAGCCACATGCCCAGCTGTATTTTTTAATACTGAGAAAACAGCTAAAGGATTTTGAAAAGAAGCTAAAAACAAGCTACATTCATTTAAAATGTGGGTAGGAACATATATATAGGTAATGTTTCTGAAATGATCTTATTTTTCTATAAAAAGTGAGAAAAAGTCTGTATTAAAAATGTATACCTGACAGGCAGACTTCTACTAGTACTTATAGAAGCCTCTGGGATTAAGTTTTTCCACTTAGAGCTTGAAAACTCAATAGATTTCAACACAGAAATGCCTTCTTCTAAAGAAGACTTCATCCAACAAGCTCTTTCATATCGCTGTTGGGACACACAGCCAGCTTCTTTATATCCTAGGGAAGGGAGAAAGAGAATATAATGAGAAGTGTGGTTTTTAAAACAAATTTTTTTGTACAGACAGGGTCTCACTATGTTGTCGTGGCTGGTCTTGAACTCCTGGCCTCAAGTGATCCTCTTGCCTTGGTCTCCCAAAGTGCTCAGATTATCGGTGTGAGCCACCATGGCTGGCTGGATTGCAGGACTCAGGGAAGAGATACCTCGCAGTGTGAGCCGGCTGTCAGCATTATCGGGGCGCAGTGACAAACGGAACTCTACTCGGCTGGTAAACATGCGGTATGGTTCACTGGTGCCCAGAGTGGTGAGGTCATCAATCAAGACTCCTATATAACCTTCTGTTCGGCTAATCACAAAGGGAGGCTTGCGATTGACCCGAAGACTGGCGTTGATTCCAGCTATCACACCCTACAAGAGCACTGAAATGTTTAAAAGGCCATTATGAACTAAACAAAGGACTATCCTATTCAGAACACTACCTGGAAACAATGGCATGGCACAGGAAGAAAGCAAGTATTGTACCTAAGGGATATAATAGAGGTAGCAAATGTGATCCATATTCAGAAATAGAATATGGGTTATCACTTTAGCAGGCTATGATTCATTGTTTTCAGAGATACCTATCGAATCTTCCGGGGGACTAATCTTTTTTTTTTTCTGGAGACAGGTTCTTCCTCTGTCACCAAAGCGGGAGTGCAGTGGCATAATCTTGGCTCACTGTAGCCTTGGCTTCCTGAGTTTAAGCAATCCTCCCAATTCATTCTCCCAAGTAGCTGGACCTATAGGCACATACCACCACACCTGGCTAATTTTTATTTATTTATTTATTTTTGTAGAAATGGGGTCTCATTACATTGCTTAGGTTGGTGTCAAACTCCTGGCTCAAGCAATCCTCTCTCCTCAGCCTCCCGGAGTGCTGGGATTACAGGTTGAGCCACCATGCCTAGCCAGTTAATCCTTTTTTAAAACCCACCTGTGAAACTTGTCTAGCCTTTTCCCCCTTACAAATAAAAATAAAATAGGCTGGGCACAGTGGCTCACATCTATAATTCCAGCACTTTGGGAGGCTGAGAAGGGTGGATCACTGAGGTCAGGAGTTTGAGACCAGCCTGACCAACATGGAGAAACATCGTCTCTACTAGAAATACAAAATAAGCTGGGCATGGTGGCACATGCCTGTAATCCCAGCTACTTGGGAAGGCTGAGGCAGGAGAATTGCTTGAATCCAGGAGGTGGAGGTTGCGTTGAGCCTAGATCATGCCATTACACTCCAGCTGGGGCAACAAGAATGAAATCCTGTCTCAAAAGAAATAAACAATAAAAAATAAAATAATTTCTGACTTACAGGGAATAATAATTTCTAATAAAGTATATTAAAATAAAATTTAAACTTCAGAAGCAATACAATAAATCTAATCAAAATACGATATCATGGCCAGGCGTAGTGGCTCACGCCTGTAATCCCAGCACTTTGGGAGGCCGAGGCGGGTGGATCACAAGGTCAAGAGATCGGGACCATCCTGGTCAACAAGGTGAAACCCCGTCTCTACTAAAAATACAAAAAATCAGCTGGGCATGGTGGCGCGTGCCTGTCATCCTAGCTACTCAGGAGGCTGAGGCAGGAGAATTGCCTGAACCCAGGAGG